TGTTGACCAGGCTGATATCAAACTCTTGACCTCAAGTGATCCTCCTGCCTTGGCCTCCCAAAGTGCTGAGGTTACAGGCATGACCCCCACACCCCACCAGGGGAAGCTGTTTTTGATAAAGATTGTTGGTGTCTATGGAAATTAATTGTTTTGGTGAAAATTGTTATTCTCTCTTGTTTATGGCTAATTCTTCTTTTGGGGGGACTTTTAGATGAGGACCTTGAGATTGAATTGGTTGAGGAAGAGCCTCCATTCCTGAGAGGACACACTAAGCAAAGCATGGACATGAGCCCCATTAAAATCGTCAAGGTGAGAACTTCTGAACCTTCAACCTGGAAATGTCAAGTGGACTTCTTTTTCTAAAGTAACGGGTCAGGTTATTAGATCTGCGTAAGTAGGCCGGGCGCGGTGGCTCACGCCTGTAATCCCAGCACTTTGGGAGGCCAAGGCGGGCGGATCACGAGGTCAGGAGATCGAGACCATCCTGGCTAACACGGTGAAACCCCGTCTCTACTAAAAATACAAAAAATTAGCTGGGCGTGGTGGTGGGCGCCTGTAGTCCCAGCTACTCAGGAGGTTGAGGCAGGAGAATGGCGTGAACCCGGGAGGCGGAGCTTGCAGTGAGCCGAGAGCACGCCACTGCACTCCAGCCTGGGCAACAGCGAGACTCCGTCTCAAAAAACAAACAAACAAAAAACTCCTGGGCTCCAAATGATTCTCTTGTCTCAGCCTCCCAAAGTGTTGAGATTATAGGCATGAGCTGCTATGTCTGGCCTACATATTATATAATAAATGTACCAGAGTGCTGTGGAAACAAGGGAAGAGCAGATAACTCTTCTTGGAGATGATACTTTTGAGCTTATACTTTACAGCGCCATGTTGGAGAACCACCTCCCCAACCCTGGAACGGGACATAGGACATTTGAGGTCCCGACATCGTGGGTCAGAGGAGAAAAAAACTGGGTTTCTTACATGAAACCTCTGTAATTAACTCTCCTAGAAAAGAAGAGTTTTGGCTGGGCATGTGGCTGACACATGTAATCTCAGCACTTTGGGAGGCCAAGGCAGGAGGATTGCTTGAGGCCAGGAGTTTGAGACCAGCTTGGACAAATAGTGAGACCCTATTTCTAGAAAAAATTTAAAAATTAGCCAGGTATTATGGTGTGCGCCAGTAGTCTCACCTATTCAGGAGGCTGAGGTAGGAGGATTGGTTGAGCCCAGAAGTTTGAGGTGGCAGTGAGCTTTGATCAGGTCACTGCACTTCAGCCTAGGTGACAGAGCAAGATCCTGTCTCAAAAAAACAAAACAAAACAAAAAGAACAAAAAAAGTTTTGATCTTAGGTTACAAATGCTGCCTTCTCTTCTTTGGCTAGATGATTGCTGCCAATGTCCTTTCCAAAGAAGAGTTTCCAGACTTTGATGAAGAGACTGGCATTCTCCCTAAGGTGGATGATGAGGAAGGTAACTAGTCCAGTTGGATTGAGAAGGATAATTGGCAAGTTGAGCCATTGGATTGGGTGATTTGCTTGTAGTTTAACCCAGTGGCTATTAATCACTTGTTCTTTGGATCTCACTACTCATCTCTCAAATAAAAGGATCTCACCATGATGGAAGCAAGAAGTTCATTTTTCTGACAAGTGCTTATGTATTATTATACTTGTTGCTTATAATAATCTCTCGGCCAGGCGTGGTGGCTCATGCCTGTAATCCCAGCACTTTGGGAGGCCGAGGCCAGCAGATCACCTGAGGCCAGGTAAGCCTGGCCAAGGTGGTGAAACCCTGTCTCTACTAAAAAAATACAAAGATTAGCTGGGTGTAGGGGCGCACGGCTGTAGTCCCAGCTACTCAGGAGTCTGAGGCAGGAGAATTGCTTGAACCCAGGAGATGGAGGTTGCAGTGAGCTGAGATCACGCCACTGCATTCCAGCCTGAGTGACAGAGCGAGACTCTATCTAAAAAAAAAAAAAGCTTTCAGGTTATAAAAAGTTATAATTGTATTTTTGGGTGTAAATTTGATCTCATATTCTTGGTAATTATTCTGAAAATCCTGGATCCACCTAGATTACCTCTGAGTTGCCCTGGAAACAACTTTTAACTCAGCCCATAATGACTTTTTTGAAATTATGAAGTCTTATAATAGAATTCTATAATTTATATTACAATAGTAAGTGAGCACCAACGTGCTCGCCACCCAGCTTAAGAAGTAGAATTTTACAAGCACTTCTGAAGCCCTTATGTGCTCCCCTCTGCTTAGATCTTCTTTCGTCCTCCTAGGAGTAACCACCATCTCATATTTGTGTTAATTACTCCCTTGCTTTTCTTTAGTTTTACCATCTACATATCTATTCCTAAACATTATGTTGTGTTGTCTATTTTTGAACTCAACTCATTTTTCTTTTTTTTTTTGACTTACATATTTTTTATATTTATGATGATATTTATAGTGGTATTTTATCCATTTTCATTGCTATAGAGTATATATAAATTGTCTATAATTTATCCATTTTACTTTTGATGGACATATGAGTTGTTTCTTGGTTTTTGGTTAATCTTTGTGAATAATAGTATTTGAAATTGCTATATTGTCTCTCAGTGCTTATGTGCAAAACATTCTTTTTTTTTTCCTAAATACATAGACTGGGTAGGCCAAGTGTCATGGCTCAGCCCTGTAATCCCAGCACTTTGGGAGGCTGACTGAGATGATAGGATTGCTTGAGTCTAGGAGTTTGAGACCAGCCCTGGCAACATAGCTATGCCCTATCTTTACAAAAAAAAAAAAAAAATCAGCCAGGTATACTGATATGTGCCTGTACTCCCAGCCATTGGGGAGGCTGAAGAGAGAAGGTTGCTTGAGCCTGGGAGGTCGAGGGTGTAGTGAGCCGTGGTCATGCCGCTGTGCTGTAGCCTGGGCAACAGAGGAAGACCCTGTCTTAAAAATTACTGGGTAGTAAGAAATGTGTGTGTTTGACTTTACTGGGCATTTCCAAATTGTTTTCTATTGGTTTCTGTACCATTTATACTTCTGCCATAAGCGTAAGCAAGTTCCGCCTGGTGTTGTTCAATTGTCCAACTAATTTTTTGCAAATTTATTATGGGTTAAGAATTATTCCATAATGAAGTTGGGTGGCAAATGCCTTAGTACCATTTAGAATGTCAGGAGAGTATTTTCTCATAGATTTAACTTCTTTCGAAAGTAGGTCTGATCAGTTGTTGGACTGGAGCACAAATGCCCTAGAAATGGCTGATGGTAGGGGGAATAGTCACCTAGGTTAGAGTTTTACTTGTATTGCCATCCTTTAACCTGGGAAGCTTTTTTTTTTTTGAGACGGGGTTTCATTCTCGTTGCCCAGGCTGAAGTGCACTAGCGCGGTCTTGGCTTACTGAAACCTCCGCCTCCTGGGTTCAAGTGATCCTCCTGCCTCAG